GGTTGAAACCTTGATGCAATACAAACCCACGAGAGCTGCCCTATCTACTGCCTCTCTTAATCACACAGTGGTGCACAGCAAACAAACAGCTCCTTTACATCAGCACTGGGATAAAATAAATACTGGCAAAAATGACTGGGCAGGAGAATTCCTGCCAACCCAGTTCTTATAAAAAGGATAACCTGAAATCATGTGCCTCCCCAGGCACCAGTTACTTACTCATGTTGGTCAAAGATCTCACCTCTTCAATGACACCTTCAGCCTTGCCCCAGAGCTCAGTGGCCAGCCCATACTGATTTTTATTTATTGCATCCATTATATCTTTGGCAACAGCAGTCACCTCTGCTAGACCATTATCATCGAGGAGAGACTGGAAAGCAAACACAAAGGAGGACAGCTTTAATTGTGATTTCACATTCATTTATTGCTAACAGCCTCCACGCTTTCGAGGGTTTGTTCTGGGTAAGAGCTAACCTTAAAATGCAACATTCATTTATACTGTATGGCAGCTCAGGTGAGGACCAAGAGTTTAGGAAGGTACTTACAGTGCTGTAAAGGTAGGGCCCCCAAGACAGCACAGAGTCTAAAGAAACAGAACAGATTTCAAACATGGAACTTTGTGAAGTACGATTTAACTTACTTTCCTTTTATTGTGGCAACACTGACCATGACAAAAATGTATGGAGATGAATTGGTCAGTAAAAAAGTACTGTCAGCTCAGTTTAGCCCTAAGGTTATTTCCACAGAGCAGGTTCTTTACAAGTCCTGCAACATCATTAACCCCCTAAAGCATTAATCAGTGAAATCTATTCACTTAAGGCAGGCATGGCATTTTTGACTTTAGGTGCTCATGGAATGATTAAAGGAACCAACAAAACAAAACACCAACAAATCACCCAAAGTCTGAGGATTTTCAACATACCCAAGGGAGAAATCCATGAGTCTCCAAGAGCAGTCCCCATAAAATTGCACTTTATGGTCCCTTTTTGAACAGCCTGGGTAAATAACAGGAAAAACAAAACCAAACAAAACCACAACTTTCAGTTAGATAGTCATGACTCCAGAATCAGTTTTCTTTAAGTGAAAAAGATTCAGTACCATTGTGAATTAGGCAACAGGGACAGTGTATTCCAGAAAATACAAGAACTTGTAGAACATCACATTTTCAAGTGAAAAACAAACCACATCCTTCAGCTACTTACGTTGTGCAGCTCTAAGGCAATGCCAGCAGCCATTTTACCTCCATAAGATTCCGAAAATATGTAGAATGGGATGGTCTGGGGAGAGAAAAGCCACACAAGGAACTCGCTGGGCAGAGGGCAGAAGATACCTCCAACCACACCCCACAGAAGCCAGGCTGGTCACCTCTCCCCACCAAACACCCAGTATTTTCCTTATGCTTCTCAGCTCACTCTAGACAACAACCCACTCCAATGCTTATCTAACCAACCCCAAATTCAAGATACAACTTCTGACTTGTGGGGAGTAAGAGGCAGTGATTATACCTACACTGAGTCCCACCAACCCCTACCTAGCAGCAAACACTGCCCATCTGGAAATACGTTCACTAATTCTTTCTGAGCTCCACTTAAAAGCAAAGAGAAAGGAAATGCTGAAGGAGAATTCATTTCACTTACTTGGAATTCCGTTCTGCACGAGAAGAATTCTCCAAGGAAAACCATCATATCAGAAACTACCATGGAAAGGTTTTTGGCAAACAAGCTACAGTCATCCACATAACTGAATCCAGTGCCCACAGGATTGTCCACAAACAAGATACTGGCTGCCTGCAACTGTACAAGCAGAAAGAAGGTTTGTATGAAACCTCAGCTCAGACCCGGCCAAATACTTAAGTTTTGATGGCACAAATGATTAACTGAGACAGCAAATCTCTGGAGCTGAAAGAACCTTGCAGAAAAATTAGGTGAAGGACCAAAAGAGAGAAATGGTGCAGGTGACACTTTTCTGTCAGAATGCAAAATAAAGAAAAAGGTTTCCTTCTAAAGAAAAGTCTTATCTTTTGGGTTGCTGAGATTTTGTGAGATTGATGTGGTAAATGATATTGTTGTATAGTTACAACTGTAAAATAAAATCAGATCAGCACAGAGAGCTTCTGTACTTTTGTACACAGCAGTACAACATAAAGTCTTTCAAACTGCCCAATCTGCAACGTGAAATGCACCCAAAAAACCCCAGTGATCCAGGGGCAGGTCACCCACACGGTGTGGGGAACTCCAAAGTACGACAGACTATTTGTAGCTCAGAGCACCAATACATTTCAATAATTAAACTTCTACCTTCATAGGCAGCTGTAATTTGTTTTCCCTTGAAGGCCACACTGGACCTGTAATTACAAGCCATACATTTTACACTGCCATCCATCCAGAAAAAGCTCTATGACTGCACACAGTGAAGCTGTGATCTGAAATAAGACTTTCTACAATCTCCCTGCTCTCTGCTTCCCAGATATCTGCATTTCACAAATTCATGGAAGCCCAGACATATTCCAGCAAATCAAATTAAGAGGTGCAGTCTTCAGCTCTACACAAGGTTACTCCTATAAGCCAATTTATTAACCACACTATTTCAAGATGAAATATTATAGTTCTACTGAACTTTACATGAAAACAGTGTGGTTTTGCATAGCAGTCATCTGCTTACACAAGCAAACAAACATTTGCAATCAATAATTAGAAGTTTAACTCTCTACTGTACCCAGGTTGTATTTCTTGGTTTCAATTCTTTGTCTAATGGACCGATCTCTTCAAAGTTCCCAAATCCACATCCTGAAGATCCTGGACCTCCCTGTGGGGAAAAACCAAATGACAAAGAAGTTAAAAGGCAGCCTGGCACACGATAGATAGGAGAGAAGGAAAAGTGAGCCAGTAAGTAGAATGACAGAATGCAAATTTTAAAAAATGGCTTTTGCACTACACATTAATTCGCATAGCAGGCTCTCTTCCTCATCTTTCATTATGTGCACACATCCCGTTTCTGAGAGCAAGAATTAAATAGAGAAGCAGTCACTTGGGAGATCATCTGATGAGCTGCATGCTATGTGGGCAGTTTCGAAACCCTGTTCCCTGAATAACGAATGCAAAAGTTAGTGATCTGCAGGGGTTTGCAAGTCATTAGTTTAACCAGCATGTACAGCATGTGCATTTCACCCTGATGAAATAACCCAGAAAGAAAAAGACCAAGTCCTCAAAGTGAATAAATTCAAATTAACTTCTGAAATGTACTGCTGGAGGTGACTGTGGGGAACACTCCACTGCCTTTATCAAACTGGGATTGAATGGCACCAATCTCTAAACAGAGTCTCTCTTACTTCTTTCCATGTTAAATCTCTGATTATTTTATTTCCTCTCTCTCTCTGAACATTGTTTAGACTGCAAGCTCTCCAGGAAAGGAGCTATGACACTACAATGCACAAAAATCACTACTGTTGTGTGAAAGACAAGAAAAATCTCCACTTCTGGAATTGAACTTGATGTAAGGCGAGCAGCTGGGGACAACCCACAATTGTAGGATGTCATCATCATTGTTTCTTCCCAACCTGAACAACTCATTCACAAGGTGAGTCATTTAGAAACGGGCAATTTTCAACCCTGTTTCTGCAGGGCTGCAAGATACCAATCAAACTGAACCACAGATGGAAAGAATTACCACGTAGGTGTCTTTCAGCAAACCTTACCTGAAGCCACAAGACGAGAGGTAGTTCTGTGAAGTCTTTGGTTGGGTTATTTGCATAGTAGAGCCACCAGAACATGTGGGCCTTATTCCGAACCTGCACATATCCCCACAGCTCTTTGGGCTCTTGGGACTGCCTCAGAACTACACCTTGGGGGGAAATAAAAATTAAGATCAGCCAGGTATAAAAGCTCAGCTTTGGGCTTTCCACTACACTTGTTCCAAAATATTACATTTCAGTCTTGGGTGTGGTAATTAGAAGCGCTTCCATTAAAGAAAAAAGTTTACTATAAGAAACCTGCCTATACTTACACCCCCACCCACAGCTGAGTTATCATCAATGAATGAAGCTAAGTCTGTAATTAAGTGCTTCCTTATCAGAGCCTGGCATTGGAGCTGCCGCCGGAATAACAGCCCAATCACTGGTATTATTTGTACTATCAGGAAACACTTCAAGTCTTTCCAAGGCCTGAGCTGAACAGGCAGCCCCACCGGACACGATGGAATAACTCACACCAGCTTCAGGGTCTCCAGGGCTCACAGAATAAATATTCCGGGTTGGGAGGGACCCAGAGGGCCCATTGAGTCCGACTCTGGAGTGAGTGGCCATGAGACCTCGGCGTTATCAGCTCCGTGTTCCGAAGAGCTGAGCTATCTCCAACACTTTGATCTGAGTGCTGGGCGAGACCAAATCACTACAGTCCCCAAGGACAGCCAAGGCAGGCCAAACAGAGGGCCACTTTTTCAATGACTCCAAGATCTAATCCTAAAGTTAATGAAATCAGTACAGCCTGGACACCTTAAGCAATCACGCTATCGCCCCCCTAGGACAGGCACTTCCCCAGCACAGACCTTTGAAACTCCATCCCTTATCTCCTGGGCCAGGGCAAAAGGCAGCAGCGCGCCGGAGGAGCAGCAGCAGCAGCAAGGCTTTTCCACGCCGCAGTGCCCGGGCTTTGCTGCTCCCGCTGCCCCGTTGTCCCCGTCCCTCCCGGCCGCCAGCCCCGGCAAGGCGGCGGCACCGCGGGGCTCAGCCCGGGGCCTGCGCGGCCGCGAGACGCGCTGTGCCCGGAGGGTGTCGTTCCGTTCCGTTCCTATCTTATCCTGTCCCGTCCCGTCCCGTACCTGCGGTCCCCGCCGCCAGCACCCACAGCAGCAGCACCCCCAGCGCGCTCCCGGCGCGGCGCGGCCCCATCGCTCCCTCAGCTCCCGCGGGTCACGCGCACGGCCCCGCCCCGCCCACGGCCCCGCCCCCCGCGCCCGCCCCGCCTCCTCCTCCTCCTCCTCCTCCTCACGGCCCTCCCCGGCCATGATGGCGGCTGCCGGCGGCGGCCCCGTGCGGCTGCGGCTGCAGTTCGACCACCCTCCGCCCGCCAGCCCGGGCTGCGCGCTGTGCTGGCTCCTGCTGGAGCCGGGCCAGGCGCGCCTCGTCACCGACCTGCTCAGCCTCATCCGCCACCGCTTCGGCTTCAGCCGCCGCGCCCGCCTCAGCCTCTTCCTGCAGGGGGCGCTGCTGCCGCCCGCCGAGAGCGCGCGCCTGGTGCGCGACAACGACTCGCTGCGGTACGGGCGGGAACGGGAACGGGACAGCGGGAATGGGATAGGGACAGCGGGAATGGGATGGCGAGAATGGGATAGGGACATCGGGAATGGGACAGCGGGAATGGGATGGCGAGAATGGGATAGGGACATCGGGAACGGGACAGCGGGAATGGGATAGGGACAGCGGGAATGGGATGGGGACAGCGGGAATGGGATGGCGAGAATGGGATAGGGACAGCGGGAACGGGACAGCGGGAATGGGATTGGGACAGCGGGAACGGGAACGGGACAGCGGGAATGGGACAGCGAGAATGGGATAGGGACAGCGGGAACGGGACAGCGGGAATGGGATAGGGACATCGGGAATGGGACAGCGGGAATGGGACAGCGGGAATGGGATAGGGACAGCTGGGACAGCGGGAATGGGATAGGGACAGCGGGAATGGGATAGGGACAGCGGGAATGGGACAGCGAGAATGGGATAGGGACATCGGGAATGGGACAGCGGGAATGGGATGGGGACAGCGGGAATGGGATGGGGACAGCTGGGACAGCGGGAACGGGATAGGGACAGCGGGAATGGGACAGCGAGAACGGGAATGGGACAGCGGGAACGGGACCAGGGAGTCAATCCCACATATAAACCTTATCCATGCCCATCACTATCCAAAGGGGGCTGTCAGAGGATGGACCAGGCTCTGCCCAGGGGTGCCCAGCAATGGGACAAGAGGAACAGGCAGGAACTGATGCCCAGGAAGGTCCACCTGGACATCAGGAAGAACTTCTTCCCTGTGCAGTGACCTGAGCACTGAACAGGCTGCCCAGGGAGGGTGTGGAGTCTCCTCACTGGAGATACTCCAGAGCCCTCTGGACACAGTCCTGTGCCACGTGCTTTGGGATGGCCCTCCTTGAACAGGGAAACTGGACCAGATGCCTTACTGTGGTCCCTTCCAGCCTAACTCATTCTGGGATTCTGAGTCCCCTCGTGGGGTTGGAACATGGCAAGACAGGGGTGGGGCCTCCTTGGGAAAGGGCTGGAGGGAGCCAAGGCGTTGGGAATGTCCCTGAGGATGGAAGGGGGGTGTTGCCTGTGCCCTGCCCCAGCACCTGCCTGTCACAGCCTGTGCTCATGGGGAAGGCTCCTGACTGTCCCATGCACAGGTGGAGCATCCCTGCTCCAGAATAACTTACTTGAGCTGCTGACATGTAGGAAGAGGTGCTTGTTTTGCTCAACAGTGATTTTTGTTTGGGTTTTTTTTGGCAGAGTAAAATTGGATGACATAGTTGCAGATGATTATGAAGAGACAGATGATGGCTTTACTTACACAACAAAAGAAGACAAAAAAAGGCACAGACACAAGCAGGATGAGGAAGAATTCTCTAGAAATGAAGACAGGCATAAAAGGAAGAAGAAAAAGGACAAGCATAATCTTGAGTATTCCTCTTGTAGGGAAGAGAGCTCTGTAGATATCTGGGACTCTCAAAAAAGGTACACAAAAAGAAAAAGAAAGGAAGAAGTTAGTGGAAAAAACAGACCAGCAGAAGGTAAGGAAGAGAGCTCTACTGCCCATTCTAAAAAGCTTAAAAAAAATGAGAGGGAGAAACAGGTGGCAACAAAAAAGAAGGATGAAAAGCAGACAAAGGCTGCTGCAGCAAAGATGGCTTTAGAATGGGGCAATGAGAACTTTTCTCTAAATTCTGGTAAAAATACTACCAAGAAGATCACAACACAGTCCAGCAAAAAGAGGGTGGAAACTTCAGATTCCTCCAGCACATCGTCTGACAGTGACAGCAGTGAGTTAAACATAAAGCAGAACAAATCTTCCCATAAACCCGTAGCGACGACACTTCCCAAAGACAAATCCCAGGCTGCTGCAAATTCTGGTGCAAAAACGAATAAAGTGACTGTAAAGTCTAACACTGAAAAGACTAAGACTGCAGTTAGTAAAAATGCTAAAAAACCCCAGTCCTCTAGTTCAGATTCTGACTCGAGTACAGAGGATGAGAAGGCGACACCAGCACAAGACAGCACTGCAAAGGAAGAGGCTCTGCCGACCAACACGGGGGCTGTAAAAGCCACTACCACGGCTCCCAAAGCAAAGAGCTCCTCTTCAGAGTCTGATAGTTCGGACTCAGACACACCTGTTACTAAAAAACCCGCGGCAGATGCTGGACTGAGTAATTCCACAGTAAGAAACTGTATCAAACAGTTGCCAACCAGTATTCAAGGACCCTTTGCCAGCCCAGGCCGTGGAAGGGGGCGTGGATCGGGAGAGGATTATTTCTGGAGAGGACCTAGGGGCCGTGGGTTTCGTGGGATGATGAGGGGCCAAGGCCATGGGAGAGGAGCAAACCCTGGCTTCTTCTACAATTACAGCAGTGAAGGCCAGAAGCAGAGGCAGTTAAATGAATCTGCAACAAATACTTCTGTTGTTGTCCAGGTGAGTGACTTGCATAGTCAGAGGTCACCTTTCTGTTGCAGCTTTAACTATACAAGAAGTCTATAGGATGAGAGTAATTCATGAAAGCAGAAATAGCATAATGGGATAAAGGCTGATCTTAACTTAGTAAACCTGTTATTTATCATATCTCCATTTGTCATGCCTGAGGAAGTGTTTGTATTTAAGTGATTGTGCTACACATCTCAAAACAAAGCATGCAGATGTGTGCCTTACCCTTCTCAGAGCTTCTCACAATGCCTACAGCATAAACATTATCTTCTGGTTTTATTAATTCAGTAATTATTAGTCCAGTAATTAAGTCAATGGGTTACTGTTTTTTCCACAGAATCCCGTGGAGGTTCCCAAGAGAGACTATAGTGTGTTACCCCTTCTAGCTGCTCCACCCCAAGTGGGAGAAAAGATTGCCTTTAAGGTAAAGAACTCTGAAAATGCTGAATGGCTAAAATTGCTTGATTTGGGCCACTCTAAGCTTCTGACCTAATAGTTTCTCTAAAAAATTCTCTCGCTGTAAAGTCTGACTTGGATTCTTACAAAGGTTTGGAGCCTGTGCATAAGTTAAATGCATTTCTTTAGATATTTGTGTAACACAAAGAAATGTTGTGTCTGCTGTCATTCCAGTGAGAATTTCCACGTACATGTTGTTATTTCTCTAGATACCTTTTCTACAATATTATTGCAAATCTTACCTTATAAATAATTAACACTTCACGGCAAAAACTTATGATTTGTTATTTGTATTTCTTTCAACAGCGCTTGGAACTAACTGAAAATTACAGTCCTGAAGTTTCAGACTATAAGGTACTGATTTTCTTTCCTCCCTTAATTCACTCAGAGAACCATTATAGGTGAGGTATGACTTAAATATTTTGAGGTTGTGCAGTGTTTTTCTTTGCATCCAGTGGGCTCCAGAGGCCATTCCTGGTGCAGCAGTAAAAGTGAAAACTCCAGAAGCCAAAACTAATTGAAAATTTGAAAGGTGTAGAAGTTACTGGGAAGAAAAAAAAGAAACACCAACCCAACTGCAGGCATTATTAATGATCATTGACATTGTGGAGATGACAAAAAAATGCAGACCTTCAAGTAGAAAAATATAGCTGTCTTTGAGTCTGCTGTGGTTTGAAGTCAAGGCAAGTTCTTAAAACTGGTGCAAGTAAAATTTTCTAGCTACTTGAGATAACTTGGTTTCTGGGGAAGTACTGAGTTAAACTAGAAAGTCAGTGACAGTCAGTAAACTTTGGTTTATTGGTGCCAGTAGCCACAGATTGCTGAGCTTTAATTCTCTACAGATTTTATACACAGAGATAGGAAAAACTGATAGCCAAATTTCCTCTAGCAGTGATCAAGTAGCACAGTGGTTGTAGATATGGAGTAGTTATCCAGTGCTGAAGTGTATCTTACCTGATTCTTTTCTTGTTGCTTTATGAAGGAGGCCAAAATAATCAGTTGGAATGCTGATAAAAAACAGATCGAGCTTGAGATCCTTTCGGCACCAGCAGGACCAAGTACGTACCCTGGGACACCAAAGTCTTCTTGTCCTGTGCATCACTTGGGAAACAGTCCAAGGCACAGCTTATGTTTCAGAAGTATTCCCAGTTTCCTTGGGTTCATTCTCAACACACCCCTTCCCTCCTCATTCCCTCCCCAGAGAGTCTATTTAAATGGAAAAGCTCCAACCCTTGCCAGTTGAACTGAAGATGCTCATGGGCATTTACAAAAGTGAATTTCTTCAGTCAGTGTGAGTGCTCAGTAACTCACCTCTACTGAGTCCTGCAGTTGCCATTGAAGCCAGAATTTTTCTTAAACTTAAGCAACACATTATTACCTTTTCCATCCATGTAGCCATACGAGTCACCTTAATTTTGATGTGCAGTCTTCAGCTCTACCTCAGATTTTTTTTGTTCCAATTACAAGCCCAGACACACAACTGAAAAACAAAACAAAACAAAACTGGGGTTTGAGGTAAACATTTAAACTTTTGTTGTTGTTGTTTGTTGTCAGTTGAGTGGTTTTGTTTGTTTTTAAGCTGCTAAGGAGCCGGGGAAATTCGACCTGGTTTACCAGTCTGCAGATGGAGCAGAGCTGATCGAGTACGCTGTCCCTCAGGACACCAAGGTACGTGGGTCCTGCTTTGAATCCAGTTTTGCATAGCTGACACCTGCCCTGCTTTTTGGCTCTGTTCATCTCAGGGAGATTCCCTTTATAATAATGGGATTTATCTGATTAAAATAAATTGAAGCAAACATAAATGTTCCTTTCGAGCAAGAATGTGCATGACCTCAAGGTAAGAATCACTTCTTGCGTATTACTCAATTAACTGGGGTCAAAGGCAGTTATCAAACTGTAACTTTTTGTTTTGGCTAATAAAATAACCAACATCATGTCTCACAGAGTATCCATTCTTTCAGCCTTATTGATTTCGTGCACTGTTGTTCTTACCTGCATCTTCCCTTACCCAGGATGTCAGGCAGGTTGAGGTTCATCAAGAGGATCAATGAATCACAGGAATGAGTCTTTGTTCAGGTCTAGACAAAGAGTAATGACAGAGAAACTGCATCTGTTGGTGTAGCTGGTACCTGCTAAGTGTTGTCTGTGCTTTGTTTTCAGATAACTGAAAGCTGGGATGCCCTGATAGAGCCAAGACTGATTGTTGAGCCTCCAGTCAATGGATCCAACGTTGAAAATGGAACCATCTAAACTGTGAAAAAATGTACATAATTGTACAGACTTGTTTTGTGAAATGCTGCCTTCTGGTTCTGAGGATGGCAGGTGCACTGGTGGATATTATTAATAAATTGCTTTAAAAAGAAGTATGCCAAAAGAAAAACACTTTTTTTTTTCCTTAGGGTGTGTTTTTATGCCATACAGGAAGACTTTGTTTAGTCTGACACAGGTCTGTTGGGGTTTTTTTTCTTAATATTTATATCCTGCAGAACTGGAATGGTTTGATCAAAAGATAAAATACAACCTTGTACTGTCAGTAACTTATTTAAATGTCTGGGTTTGGCTGGAACCATATAACTGTCATACAGAGGTCATTTTTATTTAGAAATTACATATTGTTGATATGCACACCTCCTCGTCTGCTGCTGCTGAGCATCATACAAATGTCATGAGTTTGCATTTACTTACAGAGTTCATCTGAATGTGTCCAGAAATCCACGTGGATTTCAAGCTTCTGTAATTTTGAGGACTATAAATAGTAGTGGTAACTCAACTTTGCTTAGAACCAGTGGAAAATAACACGAATCCCCAGCCAAATTGCGCCCCATTGTGTTAATCTGTGTAGGCTCTGAAATCCCCTTTTTGTTTGTTTGTTTTAGACCAAACCCTTTTGCTCTGTAAGAGCTGAGCTTCTTTCCTTTCCAGCAGCACAGTGGGTCACCAGGTGCTGCCAATGTGCTGCACTGACAGCTCTGATAATTATTAACATGGAGGGGACACCTTGTACCTCTGGAGACCTGGCAAGTCTTATAGTTCCAGATAATCCCTGTCCTGGGTAGTTGACTCTTACAGAGAAGACATGGAAAAACCCCAAAAACTCTAGATACAAACACCCAAAAAACTGTATGTGGTGGTTTAGCTAATATGTACTCTGACCAGTGCATGATTACATTAAAATACTGCACATCTTTGCATTAGCCCTATTAAAATGTCTTGCTTGTGAAGGAATCATTTTTATACAAGTAAAACTGATTTGTGTATTGTGGTTCTCTTTAGTTGCCATTATTTCATGCCAGAATTTGGGTTTTTTTAGAGAAATGGACAGTTAGATTCACGTGGGGCTGTTCCTGCAAACTGGACAAGATGCCAGACACCAGCACAGTGATGCTGAGACAGTGGGGATTAATGGAAAGATTGTTTTTCTAAGGGAAATTGTTTATTTTTAATTCTTAAGAAATTGTAAAAGCTAAATGCAAGTATTTCACAGCACTGTTAGAGCAGGACTCGCCGCTTGTTCCACTGCCTACAGTGTATTTTGGCCATGGTTAGATTTAGTTCAGGACCACAGGAAGTTCTCAAGTAATTTCACGGAAGCAAAGAAAGTAGTAACTTCATTAGCTATGCCAATAGTAACAGTAATTTTTAATGTTAAAACGTTATTGTCTTTTAGACAAAAGGAGTGATTTGGCTTCCTCAAAACCAGAATTTCAAGCCCTCTTTGACAATGGGGAACTTAAATTGCTCATCTGAGCTCTAAACATCCTGTGCCCTGCTCCAGAAGCAAAAGCTGCAGTTGCCAGGGCATATATTTACCCTCGTTATTTACATACCTTTGTATCAGTAGGTACCAGATGAGTGATGCAGAAAATATCAGTGAAGGTACTGAGCCTCTGAAAGATGACAATGGCTTGGTCCAGATAAGCCCAAGGAGTTAATTTACTGTAGAAAAATTAAAAATGTAAACATAAAGAGCTGCTCCTTGTTCCAGTCACCAGTACCACGTGCACAGCACAGCTCTCTAAGAATGTTCCTTTGCAGTCCCTGTCAGCCACCACCTCTCAGGTGCCCCCAGGTGTTTGCATTTCCTCTGACAGCAGTTACAAAGTCCTGATCAGCCCAGCCCAACCGGGCTGTAAATGCATGGCACTGTGCCCATCTCCTCAAAACTCCTCCACCCTCCAGCATTTGAGAGGCTTCATCCCTGAACTTTTGCTCCTGTCACAGCCTTGCAGCTCCAGATGTCTCCTCTTGTCCTTTCTGCACCTGCATCTGTTACCAAGCAGTGACTCAGAGCCCTGGGCAGCTTATCCCGCAGGAGTATTGCAAGACTGGAGTGATTAACTGATGTAGGCAGAAGTCCACATTAATCTCTATAATGTAGGTTTGCAGTGACCATCCAGATTTAATTCAGTCTTACAAGAGAAATGGCTAGGAATTCATTTCAGCTGTAACAGATGGCCCACCACTGCCTCTTTTTGAGTGCTTTATACAATCCCTGAGCATTTTTGGAAGCCCCTAAGGACTAATGACTACACGATTGCCTGCTAATACTTTTTACTGACATTAAAAGGAACCTCAGCAGTTCTCCACACAAGATGTCCTTTGCCCACTGGACAAGAGGAGAAAGCAGCCAGCTCCTGCTGCTGCAGACCACCAGGCTCTGCTTAAATTACTGGGGGCCCACAGAATTTGTGCTCTGTTTCATCCATGCTGCCAGCGTGGGTGGAGAAGTACAGAAAGACCTGAGCAAGTCCCCGGGACACCAACAGACAGGGCAGAAGAAGGAGGAGTAAGAATTTGGAATCAGGTTAGTTAAAACAGTAGTGGCTCATGTTTCTATTCAGCACCAATGTTCCTTTTAGAAACAGCGATTATTCAAGAGACTGAGGAAAAGTAAACAAAATTCGAGGAAGTACCTTTTGTTGTGATGATTTCCACATTCTCAGCGCGCATAACCCGTGTGCTTTAAAAACGCTGGATTGACATCAGCTGTTAGAACCAGACGATGTTTAAGGTCCTTTCCAACCCAAACCGTTCTACGAGTCTATCTGATCTTCAACAGCCAGCTTACCCACAGCTCAGAGCAGCCGGGATTTGGGGTTCATCCCTTCCCTGAGCCCCACGCAGGAACTTGCGGGTTGTGCCGGACTGCGCTGGGGTGTCCCGAGCTCCCTTCGTGCGGGTCCCGGGCCGGGAGCCGGGCTGCGGGGAGCTATGGGGGCTGCAGCGGCTGCGGGGCCGGCAGCCAGGGTGGGCACCGCACCCGACATCACCTGCTGCGGTTTAGAAACCAAACCCGACGTCTCCGGGCGCGATGGGTGACGCTGCCCCGGAGCCCCTCGACCCGGTCCACCCGCGGCCTCGGTGCCTGGAGGGGTCTGCGTTCAGCCCAGGGGTCGCGGGCGGCCGGTCCCGGTGCTCCCGAGGCCCATCCCGGGGCAGAGCCCGCAGCACCTCGGGCTGCCCGGTCCGGCGGACGGGCGGGTGCTGGAGGGGGTGTCCCAGGGCTGCCGCCCCTCCCATCGGGCGGGGAAGAGGACACGCAATTTTCCGGAAAGCCCCGGCCCCAGTTTCGTTTTTCCAGCCCCAGTTTCGTTTCTGGCTGTTCGGAGCAGAGACGGACGCGGCGATGGCGACGCTGGAGCCGGAGCTGCGCCTGGCGGGGCTGGAGGAGGAACTGACCTGCTGCATCTGCCTCTGCCTCTTCAGCAGCCCCGTGACCGTTCCCTGCGGCCACAACTTCTGCGCCGCCTGCCTGGAGCTCACCTGGGCCGGGCTGTCGGAGGGGTTCAGCTGCCCGCAGTGCCGGACCACCTTCGCGGGCCGCCCGAAGCTGCACAAGAACACGGTGCTGTGCCGGGTGGTGGAGCAGCTCCAGGGCCGCGCTGGGAACGGGGATGAGGAGCAGGAGGAGCAGGAGGAGGAGGATGGGGGGGCGGCGGGGTGCGAGGCGGAGGAGCCCCCCGTGCTCTGCGACAGCTGCCGGGAGGCGCCGGCCGTGCAGACCTGCCTGACCTGCACCGCGTCCTTCTGCCACGAGCACCTGCGGCCGCACCGCGACAGCCCCGCCTTCCGCGACCACCAGCTCTGCCCGCCCCTGCGAGACCTCCAGTACCGCAAGTGCCCCTCGCACAACCGGCTCTTCGAGTTCTTCTGCAGCAATCACGGCACCTGCATCTGCTCCCTCTGCCTGCTCGGGCACAAGATGTGCAACACCAGCCCTTTGGAGCAGGCTAAAGCCAATGCCCAGGTGAGCAGCTGCTGGGGGGTGGCTGGTGCCCTCCGGGGCTGGAACACCCTCCTAGGGACACCCTGGAGCCTCCCTTCTGTCTGGTCTTGGCAGACTGTTATCTCCCTCCCAGGCACATCATCAGATTGATTCCTTGGGTTTTCCTCCTCTCTGCAAGGAGTCATTCCTTGCATTTTTCTCCTCTTTCCAAGATGTTGCTCAAGGGCCAGGATTCTGGGAAGGCGCTGTCATGAGGTTGATTGCCAGCTCCCGGACTGGACTGGGCTGGGCTGGGCTGACCAGTGAGGTCTCCCACACTCCCAGTGTCATCCAGAACTCCAAGCCTCCTCTGCTGCCAGGGCTCACTGCGTGGCCTTCTCAGAGGCTGACCTGAGGGGCTGTGGACAGACATTGCCCTGTGTATGTTTTTAAGACTCAGAAGATTATAGAAGTAGCCTAGGGAGATCACCAGCACATAGATAAAAGCCAGAAATGAGGTTCACAGAGTGGAAGCCTGGCCTTCATATCTTACCGTGCAGCTGAAAATTGGAGGGTAGTTGAGTAAAGCATGCTTGAAAAGTTTAGGTGGCCAAACTCCCGTCTGTTTGGTGAGTGTGTGTACAGCTTACCTGCAGAACTCATCCCTGACTGAGCTTAGCAGCATCTTGAGCCAAAGGAACAGGTAACTCACATCTGAGTGATAAAATTCTCAAAATGAGAGGGGTGAGCAGTAGCCTTAACTTTGTGCCCAAAGTCCAGCCTGAGAGCTAACATTTATTCTTAGCATGAGAACTGCTGAAAGCACTCGGTGCTTATCGAGAGACTGAGTCAGCAGCGTGCATCTGCTTCTGGGAGAGGTGGAGCTGCAGGGAGGGCGTGGGTGCCACAAGGCACACGTATGCAGGTCAGCACTTTTCCATCTTGTAAGGTTTAAAGAGAGAGAGGTTTTAAACCGATAGTACCAAATGCTTACAAGGTTTTTTAAAACTTTCTGTGAACGTGATTCTTATTCCAGTGAGTGTGACCCAATGCAAATGCTCCTCTGAAATAATTTCTGATCTCTCCTGTTGCAGGTGATGCTGAAGAAGAAACTCATGGAGCTGAATAATCAGTGTGAAAGAGCTGCTCGGGCAATGACCACCGTGAAAACCAACCAAAGCCAATCTGCTGTGAGTGGGTGACTATTCAAAGTGCTGTTGGGTTGCTTGGCACACGCTGGCCACTGTGTGGTGTTGGTGATTGTGCCCTCGTGACAAGGGCTGTAGTACTGAGACTGAGTTGGCAGGAGAAGATGTTGTTAGGAAGGAACAGAAAAGGGGCATTTTGGCAGGGCCAGGCAGCTCTGTGGGATATGGGAGTAAACCGGGCACTATGTGTTAAAACCCCCACTCCTTGTGAGCGAAGCAGTTTTCTTTACAAACAACATAGAAATACTCAGCTCTTCTATTTCCTGTTTCAAGTAAGAGAAGCCTAAATGTTCCTCAAAGGTTTTTGTGCAGTAGCAGTAAGAGTATTTTGTTCACAAACTGTTCTTTTGAAGCCAGTGTCTGTCTGCTCTTATCTGCTCCAGGAGACAGCTTCCAGAAAGAAGGATTTGATCAGAAGTGAGTTTTCAGAAATTAGAGCTATAATTGAAGAAAAAGAAAATGAAGTCTTGAAAGCAATTGCAGATGAAGAAAAGAGAGTTTGGAACAAGTTTGATTATATTTGTGGTGTTCTGGGAAACAAGAAGAATGAAATTCAGTCTCTCAGAGATCAGGTTGAGATGGCACTGACTGAAAGCGATGACGTTCTGTTTATGAAGGTATTGTGTCCTTTAAGTGTGAATCCAACTCTTTGTGTTTCTAGAATGCAGAGTCACAGAATCCTGCTGCGGTCATCCTGCTCTCCAGACACTTTCAGTCAAATGGTATTGCAGTTGTGTGCAAGAACCTGCTGTGAAAGGATGTACCAATGAGTACACAAATAGCAATGAAAGAACACTGAAATGGTGTCTGAAGCTCCCCCAGTTCAGCCATTACCTCTGCCACAAGCAGAGGGGCCAGTGGGCGAGAGAAGTCATCTCCATGAGGTGCTGCAGTTCTGTCCAGATCCTTCTCATTGTTTCAGATATCAGTTGGAATTAAAGCATGTGGGCTGCTGCTGAAATTTTGCCATGGGGTTGTGTCCAACTGTAGCCCTTGTGGCATTTAGAGTAACTTGGTTATATTTTAACATATGTGCTATGCAAAGGGGTCTGCCCAAGTCTTCCGTTTGTCATTTCAGAGAGCAGTAGCACTGCAACGAACATCACCAAAAGAGGCTTTCGTTCCTACAGTTGAAATGGACCAAAATGTGATGAATTCCACTTATAAGTTTGCCCTTAATCTCAAAGAAGCACTAAAACTTACAGAGGCTCAGTATAAGGAGAGAAAAGCAGAAGGTACTGTATCACTGAGAATACTGGCATTTTCTGCTTTGGCTGTGAGCTCAAATGAGGGATCTTCCCTCTCCAAATATAATTTTTTAAAAAAGTGCAACAAGTACAGTTGGTTAATATAAATTGTGTCTTCCAACCTCTGCAGTCCTCCATTTCCACACAAAACCACCACAGTCTGGGCTAAATTAGGAGACAAAGCGTGCCAGTGTCTCTTCTCTGTTATCTGTAATCGGATAAGTTGATGAGTATCATGATCCTACACCCTTCTGGCACAGCTCAGCCTTTCTTCCTTAGAGTAATTTATGGTGTCATTGTGTAGCAGGCTTGGACATGTTTAGGACATGGATTTGAGGGGAGCCGTGAAACTCTTTAGAGTGATAGGACTTGGGTTACCCAACTGTCAAAGTGCTGATTGTGTAAGACCTGCTTACTGGGTTAAGCAAAGCTACCTTTTGGACTGGGTCACGGGGGTGCACTTTCCATCTCTGCTGAGTGTCCCTTCAGTTCTATTCACAGAACTGATAAATAAGACTGAAAAACGTCCTCACTAATGCCTTTCTTTGTAATTACTGTGCATTTCTCTGTGACTGGCAATACCAACCATAATGTAAAATATTGCCATTGCAGCCAAACCTGGAAAACCTGTGGGCCCTCCGGTGGCTCCTACAAACAAAACCTCTGCTGGAAAAAAGCCTCATGGAGCACGTAAGTACTAAAGAAATCATCCTCTCCTAACTATGGTTTTACAAATAAATAGGAGTTCAAGGACTTACCCCAGAGCTGTTTGCTGTAGTGGTGATGCAGTGATTGTCTGTATGAGCACCTGGGCACGGGAGAGGGAGGGTGCTTTGGGATATTTAGTGATGGATGCCTTGTGAGCTGGAAAGCAGTGAACTGCAGAGGTACAGTGGTGCATCAGCCTGTAGTGTTGTCAGTGTGGGCTGTAAAGCAAAGCAGAGCTTCCCCACCCTCTGGTTCTTTCAGGGTTTTTTAGTTTGTACCAAACACCTGTTGGCTTGTTTGATGGATTTGTACATAGTGAATTCTGCTTATGGGCTGTTCCCCTTCTGCTGTTTTAGGTGCTCCCTCACAAGAGCGTTTCCACAAAGAGAAAAGCCTTTCCCACGCTCCAGCCACTCCACAGGTGGAGGCAGATACCAGTAAGTGGTGATTAAAGGAACTCAAACATTTTGCTGGCCACATCTCACCTGCAGTGTAGGGCTGGGGTGATGGAGAAGAGTCTTTGTGGCAGGTTACACTGGGGCCCTTCAGTGCTGTTTTGTCCAGATACCACCATTAATGGGCACCATAGTCTGTTTGGAAGATCTTCCATATTTCTTTGGAAATAAATCCAAGTGATAAGAAACTGCTTCTATTACTCCCACAGAGCTCTTGACAAAAGGTCCTTTCCATCCACAAGTCCTGGGTGTGGAGCACTCAGTGGGGTCTGTTGGGGAAGATGGAGTTTAATTGACTTGTAGCTCCTGTTGCTTCACTGAAGTTGTGTTGTAAAAACAAAAAGGATTAGTCTGTGCCTCGTGGGAACAGGTGTGTTGCCACTTGCCTGAAAATGCAGCATCCTGGAGGAGAGAAATATTCCAGGGTCATATTTCCTGTGGCTCTGGAAATAGGAAGCAAATAGCAGGTCGTGTTTCCTGTGCAGCTTTTCGGTGTGGGTGTATTTGGCTTCAGCATGCTGGACTGTCGGCTCCATCTACTGCTGCAGCTTCAAAGAGCCATGACAATGGTGTTACAGCTGACACAGTCTTATCAGTGGCTTGTCATTCCCAGTA